CCATCCCATCCCATCCCATCCCATCCCATCCCATCCCATCCCACCATGGCAGGGACACCTTCCACCATCCCAGGCTGCTCCAAACCTCATCCAGCCTGGCCTTGGGCAGTGCCAGGGATGCAGGGACAGCCCCAGCTGTGTCCCCACTGAACCCTGTCCCCAAGTGCCACAGCCACACAATTTTTAATCCTCCTGAGGATTGTGACTTCTGCCCTGGGAAGTCTGTTCCGATGCCTGACAGCTCTTTCCATGAAGAAATTTTTCCTAAAATCTATTTTAAACCTCCATGGCACAGCTCGAGGCCATTCCATGTTCTCCTGTCGCTGTTCCCTGGGAGAAATCCTGACTCCCCCGGCTGTCCCCTCCTGGCAGGCAGAGCCAGAAATTCCCCCTGAGCCTCCTTTGCTCCAGCCTGAGCCCCTTCCCAGCTCCCTCAGGAATTCTCCAGCCCCTTCCCAGCTCCCTCAGGAATTCTCCAGCCCCTTCCCAGCTCCCTCAGGAATTCTCCAGCCCTTCCATGTTTTTCTGAGCTGCCCAGGGTGGGTTCCAGGTGCCCTGCAGTGTCCCTGGCACAGGGAGCAGCAATCCTGGCCTTGGCCATGAGCAATCCCCTGCCAGGACCTGCCCAGCAACTCCCCACCCTCACCAGGTGCTTTCCTTCCTCTTCCTCCTCCTCCTCCTCCTCGAGCACGCCAAGGAGGAAGCTCTGAGCCTGCCCTGGGACAGGGACAATTCCTGCTCCATCCTCCAGGCTCCTCAGCCTGCCTGGGGAAATAAGAACCTCGCGCCTCGCCCTCCCCGGGCACAGCAAAACCCCAGATAAGCCCCAAAAAAGGGGCCTAAACCGGGCTGGAGATGGAGCCCCTGCCCTGGGCCGGGTTCCTGGGGGCCGGGTCCCTCTCCAGGAGCACAGCAGGCACCAAAATCCCCCCCGGACACCCCCGGGGCTCTGTCCCTGCCCGGAGATGTTCCCGTGACGGGCCCGGGGGTGGCACAGGGGGGGAAAGGGAAGGAAGCGGCTCTGACGTGGTTGTGGCGATGACACAAAGGAACAAACCCGGCTGAGCTGGGGCTCCTGCGCTCCCCAGGACCGCGATTTGCCAATCCCCGGCTGGGGGGGATGAGGTTTGGGGCTGGATGTTGGGGACAGCAGGACCCTGGGCCAGCCCCACACCTCTCATCATCACCAGGATCACCCCAGAGTGTCCACGCCTGGCCTTGGGGTGTTCCTGTGTCCCCTGTGTCCCCTGTGTCCCCTGTGTCCCCTGTGTCCCCTGTGTCCCCTGTGTCCCCTGTGTCCCCTGTCCCACAGCAGCCCGGCTGTGGGGTGTTCCTGTCACCCCTCCCCGTGCATCCCTGGCCATGGGGTCATCCCTGCAGCCCCCAGCCCCACACATCCCAAATCATTCACCTCCCCCAGCCCACGTCCCCAGGAGCACTGGGGAGCACTGGGAGCACTGGGGAGCACTGGGAGCTGACTGGGGCACACTGGGGAACACTGGGAGCTGACTGGGAGCACTGGGAGCTGACTGGGAGCTGACTGGGAGCACTGGGAGCTGACTGGGAGCACTGGGAGCTGACTGGGAGCTGACTGGGAGCACTGGGAGGTGACTGGGAGCACTGGGAGCTGCCTGGCGGC